ACATACATATAAGTATACTTATCAAAAAGAAGTATAATTTACACGGTATTAATATTAATACAAATTGAATATCTGCACAAGAGTTTGCAATTTTTGTGCGCATATACTATTTCTTTGTTTAATTGCTTGTATGTAAAAAAGATGAATTTTTTATTGTAGCCGATCATTGTAGAATATTTCGTAAAGAAAATCGTAATTATATGTATACACCAAAATAAGTTCATCTCTTATATGCATGTATTATTTTTCTGTATCTTATGTCGTATCATATTTTAAAATATTTTTCGTAGAGTACCTGATATTTTTATATTGTAATAATTTATTTAAGTTTAAAAAGATATAAGATATATGAAATACTTCGTTATGATTTGATGTTAGTACTAAAACTATATAAAAAATGTAAAATAAAATGTTATAAAATTATACAAACGTGATCTTATTATAAATTCTAAACTTATGTTATAAATGAGAAACATATATATATTTTACGTCTTTAAAATGTAAAATATTGAGTATGATTTCGTAAGGATATGAAAAGCTTTCGGCGATTTCGTGAGATTTTAATTAAGTATATATTTTCTATTTATTGCCTGCTAAGTATTGTCAGTAATTCGGATTTCTCCCACTGTTAAATATAATCTATAACATAATTACAAGAACTTACAACTTCAAAGTTATAGCAAATCCCAGTGAACATGGACAGGAAAGGAAAATAGAAAATTCTTTTTACATTTGTAAATTATAATGTTAGACGCAATTAATTTCCGACTTCTTAAAGAACAGTCCTTTTTAGTATCTAAAATGACTTCTGTCAATGATGACTCATCACGTATGTAAATTAATAACTGACATATATTAATTAAAAATTGTATAAATGCGTATAAAATATTTGTCCCTTTGTACATAATGCTTTCTATGTTAGTATATTACATTGTTCTGATGATGTAAAACCCAATTAGATAGTCATATTGCGATAACACCGCAGATGATAATCGCGGCAGTGAAAAGATTGCGCCTACATAAAGTCTACGTACCTTCTGACCTGATTAGTAAATATCTCAGATGTACCTATCCGGTTAGAAGAAATTTAACTCTATTCACCGAAGAACTAGCAAAGAAATTAGCTTGCGCTGTTCATGTTGGTTTGTTACTCAAACACGGTGAGAACGCATATTATTTACCTAATTTGAGACAAAGCGCGAACGACCTTAAATCTGCGTACATGGAATTTTGGGAGCTATACCGCGAAGTAATTGTAAATTTAATTAGATACCAATATTGGGACGGTCCTGTTTATTACAGTAACATATTTTTTAGTATACAAAATCTGCATGTCTATCACAGAGCCAGAGACGGAATAAAAAAATGTCTATGTTAAAAAAGAAGACTAAAAAGATGTAATATTCCAAATGAATCCATCGATGAAGATTGTATTTAATTACATAAAAGATAATACATCTGACCATTGTTGGTTATTGACTGTTCATTATTTTATACGATTAAACAAAGATTATACAATTCATACGTGATTGAGTATAGAATACGGATTATCCGGATCGTAATATAGCTCGGTTGAATTATCGGTAGCACTAAAATATTGAGTATCACTTTCAGCATTTGTCTTCGGACGTTTAGATTTTTTTCGTTTCTTACAATGCTTAACTTCGACCTGAAATAATGATGTAAATTCTGATTTTACTTTTGACAAAAGTATATGAAACAATCTTAAGAGACTTGGAGACATTCCAAGAACAGCATTTATGTATTTCTCAATGTCCTGATGTGTTTTAAAATTATTACTTAAATTATACAGCAGAGTGCCATTATACAAAGTGGCGACTGTGGTCTGTGGATAGGGATACTTCAGTAACGCATTCAGGCTCATGGCATGTTTCAAACAATTCTGAAATTCTGCAAATGCGTGAACTATAGATCTATTAAATAATTTCCGATTTGAATAGAATTGAAATTTTTTATCTAGATTAAAATGAGAAATGAAAAATGGTGCGGCTAAAAGACAATCATAATAGCTGACTTTTTTGCAGGCTTCAATAACTGTACCATTTGTCGTGTAGGTCGGCTTATAATTATGCGCTTTCCTTTTCTGTTTTATTGTTTCAATTACTTGACTCTTTTTCTGTGTAAAATTGTGGATTGTTCTATATATCCCGATCTTAGAATCTATTATATGAAATAACATACCAATAACTATAGCATATACATTAGATTTATGAAATACAGGAGGTTCTTGCTCTCTTATCCAGTACTTAATACATCCAACATACAATATCCACTCTGGTGGAAGCTCATTTATACAATCTGCAGTGTTAATCCCCAAAGTTTTATTTAAGATCTCTTTCCGTATACTTAATGGAATTTTTCTAAGATTGAATAGAGACGGAAGTTTACAACAGTTTATTATCTCTGTGGCTTTTAATTCACGTGTTACAAGTCTATTTTGATCTCTGATCATGTATCTCATGTAACGTACTTTGTCATGTATTGCTGATTTTAGAAGTCCAAAAATAACACTAATGATCTTTAAACTTATTACATTACTCGAACGATAACAATCATTTTCAATTTGTACGGGACACGTATACAATCTGCGAACTATCAAGTCCATGAAAAACGATGGAAGTTCGGCCATAAGAAATTCGTTTACAAACCATTTCGGCAAATTATTAATGGCTTTATTTTGCGAAAACAATTCGGTCTCATCTATTGTGCTCATTAATTCAATTTCATCATCTTCCTCCTCGCTGATCTCGTCCTCTTCTCCTTCACAAGTTTCTTCTATGTATGTTAAAGTATTTATATCTTCTTCAAACTTAAAACTCCTATTTAAGTGATGCGTATTTACACGAGCGACATAATCTTTTGGAAATCCTAATGGTATAAGTATTTCAGCTGATGCATTCGTGTAACTGTTAATATTGTCTTCTATTAAATTCAATAATCTTTGTCGACAAGGTTTGGGTAATCTGATTAAAATGCTAATAATAGCCTTATCCAAGGTGTACTTGCTTAGCCATATGAAAGTTGCTTCAATGCGGCACTGTTGCTCATTGTGTTTTTTTTTTGATACTCCTTTCAATTTCAAATGACGAAAGAAGTTCTTGAATGTTCCATGTTTGACATAATCATTACCTAATAAGATTGCTGCCAATGGTAACATAGATTCATGCAGTCCTCTAAATGAATTTAGTAAATATTCAACTTTATAAATTTTACAATGTTTTACATATCCTTTCCCACTTGAATGCCTGACTACACAATTATCCAATGTGTCAAATGGTATGTACTGTGATCCATATATATAAAAATCCGAATCGTAACTCAGTACAGGACAATTTAAGATCCTTGCTACTGTAGCTATATCATTATCAGCTTCAAACAGACACTGCACGTGTCGAATGTTCTTCTTTATCATCACATTTTTGAAAACTATTGTTTGTAATAAGGGCAGAAATTTCATTGTTCGTCGATCACACGGGGAAAACAACGCAGCTCTTCGAATTTTGTCTTTGGTCCTGATTACGGTTGTCTTTAATTTTTTATTCTCGGTGCCACCATCAATCAAAACCAATGGTGTTATGTTGCATTTTAATAGATCGTCGAAAAAGTTAGATACAGCATATGCAAAACTATCATAATCGCCGCCAAATGCACAATTACCTTTTGTGTATAAATTATATATTTGACAACTTATGTTGTTACCGTCGATCACTAAATATGTATTATGTAATTCATAATCCCGCAAGTAACGATCGGAACGATTATTTACGAACGTAGTTAGTCCAATAATTCCCATTTTAAATATTGGAACTTATTTATTTATGCTTACGCTTGCACGTGCATTGCACTCATGGACCTGAAGCAACCTGAAGGATGGAGCGGATGGACAGTATAAGCAGAGATGAAAAGGGAGATTGCTCATTTCTTTGTTCGAAAGTGGACACGGCTCACTACCGCACCCTAGTGTCAATGTCCATTATTTAAGGGGAAATAGACGTAGTTTAGGAGGGATTGTGCACTACTCCCCTC